CCAAAATTCCTTATATTCCTCCTGAAATTATTCGTATTATTCTTAGTTTCTTAAGGAATGATAGAAAAACTCTCGCTACTTGTGCTTTAGTTAATCATACTTTTAACCTTCACGCTACTCCTATTTTATATCACACCGTCGCGTTTACTTTTCCTCATACGTTTACACTTTTCGTTAATGCTTCGAATGATATTAAAAAGCGCTGTTCTCAAATGGTTCGTCACTTAGACCTTTCCGGTTTCTCTACCTGCGGCCTACAAAAAAGCTCTTTTGAAATTCAGAATGTCGTCACACCAGGTCTTTTAATTCATACTCTAAGATCTTTCCCTGAATTAAACACTTTTTCTGTATCTGAATCTTTGGAATCTGTAATTACATTTGATGTTTTAAAGGTTTTGTTTTTAGAATGTAAAAACATTAAAAGTATCGATTTTTGTGGTTGCGCTAGTAAACAATTTAGTAGCGCTTTAGATGAATTTTCTCGATTAATAGGTCGCGTTAAAATTGAACAATCTTGCAATGATTACGGCGAAACAAGCATTTCTTTTCACATGACTTGCAAGCCTTTATTATCTCATTTACAAAAACTTTCATTTCATGAATGTCCTATAATTTCTGAATATTCAATCATCATACCCCTTCTCGCTCATACTCCAAAGCTTACACACCTTGATTTGGGTGGTTGTTCTATCAGCGATTTAACTTTAAATTTCTTAGCTGGAGCAAATATTTCAACTAAATTATCTCATTTACTACTAGCTAAATGTAAAAATATTTCATCCGATGCTATTTCATCACTTGTCTCTAAATGTTCTCAATTGGAAACTCTTAATCTTTATGGTGACAGAGATATTACTACTTCCATTAAAGAATGTGATTTAGTAACCATACTTCGTTCACCTAATGCAAAGAACTTCCAGACGTTAGACATTGGATCTTCGCAGATAACACCTTTGATTTTAACAGCTATCAAAGAGAATTGTTCATCATTACAAAACCTTGGAATTTCAAAAGCTCAAATTACCAACTTGAATCTTATTAAAGATCTTTTAATATCTTTACCAAATCTACAATATATTGATCTCACCTCAATCCCATGTTTTAC